AATGGTGGTCTGGTCTCTGTACAGCACAGCTCGTACTACTTTGGTGTCAACTTGATCAATGGCAGTTGGCTGTTGAGGCAAAACTCTGGAGACCTGTTGTTGCCCCAGTTGGAGCAAGGCAGCTGTCAGGATCATTGGCTCTTGAGTCTCTGGGCACGACGCTGGGAAACGTACTACCTGATGGTGCTGCGGCAGGCTTTCGTCTTGGAAATCCAACACCAACATTCCAACTCCTTCTGCACTCAAAGCCTTGGTCAAGTGAAAGAAGGGGGCAGCATCCTGGATATTGACTACTGCAATTCCACGCTGATTCATCTGCATTTGGTGCAAGGTGATCTGGCCTAAGGGAGTGCCATCCTGTTGCTGGAAGATACCATCAGGTATTTGCACTTGGGATGCCTGAGGTGCCATCCATTTGCTTTGTGCAGGCTTTTTGTGTTGCTTGTTCTTTCGACCTCCGATAGGCTTGCCTGTGCTCAGTCTAGCTGCTATCTGTGCTTGGAGTTCTTCTGTCAACACCAACTTGATCGGAGGTTGTAGTGCTGAGGCTTTTGTCTTGAGATCCGCCCATGGTCTGGCTGATCCAAGCGTCTGCTTGAGGGAGGTAGGGCCAAGCGTCTGGTTGAGCTGGGCTATCACGCTGGGAACCCTGTCTGGTTTCACTCCATGCTGTTGTAACAGTGTGGAAAGCTCCGTGTTGTGTGATTCCAGCATCCCTCCAAGTCTGAGCTCAGCAACTGGATCTTGTGCATTGTTATTGTTGACCAAGTGGTGAGCAAACAGTTCTCTCCACTTGATGGCATCTTCGACTGGCATGGGATAGGCTTGTGTCTCATCTAGCTCTTGCGCCATGATCCAAGCAATGGATTGGAAACCACAATCAGCTGGAAAGGCATCCTTGGCCACTTTGTAGTGGAATTGGAAGACATTGCCAAGAGCTTCTACTGCCCATTGTTGCACCTGTGCTACTGCCGTGTGTGTGGTGGTGATGTGGATATCATCTCCGTCAATCCGAAGGGATAAGGGGAACCAATGGCTGTCGAACCAACACGCAGTGTGAACCGAAAACTTTCTACCGTTAGACTGGGAGGCTTCGATGGCACTAGCAATCCACTCATCAAACTTCTGTGGTGCATCTTCATTTGAATCGATCATGATCGGCTCAGTTGTGTTCGACAAGTTTGGCTGCCCCAACATGCTGAGATAGAAAGCCATCTCGTCCTGTGCTACCCATCCAAGTTGCTGCCACAGGGCATCCAATCTTGTGCAACCTTGCAGGTTTGGGGCTGTTTTCGGTTGGTCAACCCGGCCATCTCTGAGGAGGATGATCTGCTGTGGTTTCACCTTGGTGTAAACAGGAACATGCGATCCAACCGCTGACAAAGTTTGGACCGGTGTCGGAAGGTCCACAAGTTTGCTTTCTGCTGTGGCTAGCTGGCCAATCGTGGTGCCTGGCAGGCAATGTACTTTGTGTAGTGGCTGTTGTGGATGTCCTACCCATGCCGGGTTAGTCTGAGGCAGCTCTGGCATTGCAGTTGCAGGTTGTTTCTCGGCTTCGTCATGTTCCTTGGTCAAGGATACCTGAGGGCACGAAAGTTGTGCATGTCTCTTGGCGTCTGGAGCTGCATCACTTTCAGCCACACGCTTGCGGTTGGCAAAATGCATCATACCTCCGTGGGTACCGTAAGCTGGAGCCCCTGGGCTGCTATGGTCTTTTGGGTTGAGTCCCTCGTGGGTATCTCTTTCATTTGACTTCGCAGCAAGCCATGGATCATTGGCAAGGAGCGGGTCTGGTTTGGTGGTCATAACTTCTTGCATGGGCACTGGCGGCTGATCATTGGTCTTGCGGGGTGCAAAGACTTGGGCATGCATGAGTCTGGCTGAGCCTGCTGGTATGTCTGTACAAGTGGTCTGTCTTTTTGCATTGCGCTGGGCGTTTGCATCTGCTGATCTGTCATCGGCTGCACCTGGCTGCATGGGCATGTGGCTTGTCATGCCTTGTGCAAGACTGGCTTTATTCGCTTCTACAGGCAGGCTGAGAGCTGGGATTGACTGGACTACTGTGTGATCACTTGCATTGCTGGCATGCATGTGGCGGAACCCTACCTCAGCTGCACCCTCGGCTGGTTTGTGCAAGGACAAGGTATGTACATCTGTTGTGCATTTCTCTGGTAGTGGTCCTAACATGTGACATGGGACAACTGCCACGGGTGCACGGATGTTCGACCCTGCCTCGGATGCACAGCTGGATTCCCTACGGATGTGGTCACTATGTACATCGGGTGCACTCTCACTCTCCAAGACGGACCCTGAAGCGGCGGAAACGACCCCTGCCTCGGATGCTCGGATGCAAAACCCTGCCTCGGGTGCTTGGTTGGCTTCCCTGCGGAAATGTGCACTATGTACAGATGGAAAAAACCCCGCCTCGGATGCTGATCCATGTGTCAGACTAGGGATACCTGCCTCGAACGCACGACCGCAAGACCCTGCCTCGGCTGTTCGTTTGGCTGCACTTTGGAGATGTGAGCTGTGTACATTGAACGCCAACCCTGCCTCGGATGCAAGTCCTAGTGCAAAACTTGGAAACCCTGCCTCGGGTGTTTGGGCGACCCGTGCCTGTGTGGTTCTGAAATCACGAGCGTCTGATGGGGACCCAGCCTCGAATGCATGGACATGATGCAACTTGCATGACCCTGCCTCGGATGCACGGTTGTTCCCTGCCTCTAACGATCCGGTCGACATGAATGTGGGTGACCCTGCCTCGAGTGTTTGACGGATGTCTCCTACTGAGCATGAAACAAACTCTCTACCCGCCTCTGATGCATGCAGTGTCATTTGATCCAAGTTACTCGCAAGGGCAGTGCATGATCCTCTGGATCCGGGAGTTGCTGTGTTGAGCTTCTCTGAGATGTCACTTCCACCAGTGTGGTCGTCCTGCGGCAAATGCACATGCTGATAGACGAAAAAATCAGGACTGCATGGAGTTTCGTCTTCGTGTACATGAGCATCCGTTTGCTTGTTCATGACGTCATTGACCAAAAAAGGTGGTTGGACTGGGAAATCTTCAAACACAGTCATTGGTTCCAGCACTTGCAGAAGTTCACATGTGGACGGCATGTCATGTTCAAACCTGTCAGTGTCATGCGTGGAGACCTGATCAACAAAACTTGGAATAGGCTGGTTGGCCTGCTCTTCACTTCCATGATTCATTGCAACAGGACCTGAAAGGTGTGCTGTGATCTCCTGGGCTGCATGTTGAGTCATCTGAATCTGAACATATTGGTCTACTTCATCCGGAGGCAGCGAGGTGACCGGGTGATCAAGACGATTCAGTTCTCTCTCAAACAACAACGTCGACCGATTGTGAACATTGTGAGGCCAAGTGATGTTTCTGGCTTCAATGAGTTCCCTACAGATGTTGCCCATGACATGTCGTGGTGGTTGCACTGACACCGGAAAGCCATTTTTCATCAGTTGGAAAAACAAGTTAGAATACATCCATGCCCCCTGAAGCGGCGATGCCATCTGTCCAACCCCTGCCAGCAAAAACTTCAACGTAAATGGTTCGGAGTGGTCAAGGTACCTGGGATCAAGAGCATTGAGGATTGCAACTTCTTTTGGATGTGGATGTCTCATTCCATGAAACCAATCTTTTCCAGCTTTAACCATGGTTCCTAGTGGGATCAAAACTCCGTACAGGCCTTTGGTAAGGATTCTGGAAAGTGAAAACCCTTGTTGTCTGCATCCGCAATGGCAGGCTCCTAACTGGCTACCCCACGAGTGTGTGGCTGTGGGCAAAGCTTTGGCTGCGTTGATGACACTGTGTGAGATTCCCTGCGGTTGATCATGGAAATGTCTCAGTTCAAAGGCACTGAGACTCAACTGGCTGCTTTCATCAGGCGGCAAGTGTGGATGAATCTGCATGAGGTGCATGATAGACGGACAAAACTCCATCTGTGGCATGTCTGGGATCTCCTGAATACCTAGCATAGGCATTGAAAGGCATGCCCACCATCTGGTTCTGTGTGCAGGCCATGTGTGATGCAGTGTGAGCACCTTTTGGTGCAAAACATAACCGGTCTGCTCAGTGAAGGCCCTCAACATGTTCTGAACCCAAATGGAGTCATGAGCTTCCTTGGTACATTCCAGTGTGATCAATGGTGACCTTAAAAGATACCCCATCTTCAACAAGGCTGGAAGAGAACTACTTCGTGGGTCGGCATGTTCTCGACGATCTCCAAGGGAACTGAAAGGTTGGCATGCTATTCCTCCGTTCAGTGGCATGGGATGTCCTTTGGTGACATCGGCAACTTGTTTCACAACGTGTGGGTCACCTATGTCCCCCAAAATGACCGGGGTATCCCTTTTTCTGTCCAACCATTCCACAAACTTCTCATTGTAATCCACATAGCATGCTGCATCTGCATTGCAAAAGGGCAAACCAGTGCTGACTACCCCCAAGCCCGAACAAACCTCAATGATCTTGTTCAAGTTGCAAACATCAACCCCTTCATGTTGCACAACAAACGTAGCAGGTGAGGAGGAAATCATTGGGAGCCTTCCACCTTTGATGAGCTTTCCTCTGAGGATGGAAAAGGTAGTGGATCCAGTATCCAATTCAACGTCGGTGACAAAATCTTGTTTGAAAACAGCACTGCGACAAACATGGTATCCTGGACACCTGATGATCAGCTCTGCAAGAATTGTCACTTCAGAAAAATCACTGCAATCGCTAAATTTCTGCTCCAGCTGAAGTGGAGGCAGTTCTCTCATGGCTAATCCCGATGAGGAAAGTCACTTCCAAGAAATTGGCTCGGCCCACCCAACCAGCTGAGAGGTTTCTTGGACCAGGGCTGAAAAATACTAGTCAGTTGGGATGATTATTCCCATTATATGGAAAAATAACAAATGTTCCAAACCACCAACCAGTAGATATCCATAGCTGCGAACCACTCCCAGCCATTGGATAGAAAAGCTGCCAACACCCCATCAACTCACACCTGTCCAGCGCAGAGGGAGGTTCTCCCCGTAGGATAACGCAGATCTCCCGGAGAGCCTAGGGATGGCGCTCATCACCAAAACGAGTCCCGGTGGAAGGTGGACAACTGAATTGACTTGAAATGGAATGAAATCCATGACTTTCATTGATTTTCTATATGATTTTCTATATGTTTCCATTCTTTCTGGGTCCTTTAACTTTTGATTTTCATTGATTTTCTATATGGTTTCCATCTTTTCAGTTTTCCCAAAATCAAAGATTGATCCAGATTGATCCAGATTGATCCAGCCACAGCTGGAGGTGCAAAGTTGCTGTGTGAAAATCAGGCCTGAGAGCCTCGCGAAAAAACCACTCACAAAGAAAGCCAAAGTGTAGCCTTCAACGAAGACTGTGGACATCAGAACATGTTCCAAAAACTGAGCCCTTCGCGGTGAGAACCTCACTTAAAAAAAAACATCGATCGATTCGGATTTGGAATGAACATCTCCTACGACTCACCCCCCGCAGCATAACCCCATGGGAGGAATGTGGGAACTTCACCTGGAACCACTATCGATTTGGTCTAGAGCCAGCCTTTTTATTGGGATTGGAACTTCTACCAGTGAAACCTCCATTTTGGCAGATCTCCGCCTATGGCGAAATCAGTGGTTTTGCTGTGATCTCCCCAACGTTCTTGATGAACCTATGCAAGATCAGAGGTTTCCATGTAAACAAACTATAGAAAAACCTGACGAATGGTTTCAGCACACCCTAAAACACCACACCATCTGTTGTTCTCTGCCATGTTCTTTCTGACAAACGCATTTTTTTGTTGCAGTTCCATTTTTGGTGAAATCCCAATGTTTGCTCACATCTTCATTAAGTTTTACATAGTTTTACCATCTTTCACCACCATTGTTCATGGTGAAATCCTCTCAAGTATCCTCAATCAAACATGGCCGGGAAATCGCCAAAGAAAAGTTTCTAGCTGAGAAAACCCATTGAACCAATTAGTTGTTGGTTATTTTCCCTGCGCCATGTTTGACACCGGAGGTGCCTTGTTGCAGCGCCAGCAGCGCCGTGGAGGACGCCGGATGCGCCAGGTTTTGGGGCTCAGCGTTGCAGCGGCAGTTCAGCTCAGCAGCCCAAGGTAGCAACCAGGCCTTAGAGGGGCAAGTTGTGGGTATCGCATAGAGATACAATTGAGATATAGATAGATATAGGAGGTTTTATGCGATATATTAGGGATATAATAGGGATATATCATCCACAGTATGATTTTTGGGTCTGTCTGAAAACGAAGTATTGGTACACCCTCATGTCACGGCCATTTCAATAGGAAAAACGATGATAAATCATCATTTTTTGGGGGTACCCTATTTTCAATCAAACCCACATTTTTTTACGAATTAGTCTTGATTAATCAAGACAAACTGATATAGTTAAATCCTCTCAAACTCCAAAGTTGATTAAGTCACTGATTTCCGTAACTAGTAACTAGCTAGTCAATTTTTGTTGTGACGTGATCAACATGGCAGGGTTTTCTGACAAATCACAATTGCCGGGGAAGAACTTCAGGTTTCTAAAAACCATCTGCAAACATCGTTTCGAAATCGGACAATTTGGGTTTGAAGCCATGGACCAATGGAACTAAACTGTGACACTGACATGGAAGAAGGACAATTCAAGAGGATAATATGACTTTGTACCCTCCAAAGAATTCCTAAAGTGGTGGTTTCACTTATCCAGTTCATTTGGATGACAGACCATACTCTCCAATTTGTCATCCAAATGTCTGACCTTGCTGGTGGCCATGGTCCAATCAACAGAAGAATTCCCATGGATGATACACGATATTTCCCTTTACATTCACATGATGTTCCCATGATATTCACTATATTTCACTATATTTCACTATATTTCACTATACTCCAATGATATTCCCATGAAAAAATCCCATGCCGTCCCAGCTAGGGAAGATTCGGCCATCACCTCCCATGGCCACATATTTTCGAGCTACCCATGCAGTGGCGCCCAACAACAAACGGATGCGACCAGCCATTTCCAGAGCAGCTTTGGAAATCCTGAGCTATGGCAATCTATGGCAGCTGTGGTGTAAAAAACATTGGTTTACCATGGTTTAAATGGCCATGTTCTATAGGCAAATTATGGCAAATTATGGTAAATCATCGATAAATGGACCGGTTTCCATAGTGCTGAAGTACCAGAAGGTGCATCCCTGGAGGGAAAAGTGCAAACATGATTCTTTTTTAAAATAACTAAATCATACTAAATCATTGAAGATTGGATGAACAGGGAATTCCACAAACAAATATCAAACTGGGTTGACCTTGCTGGAAATTGGGTATGAAAATGATTGCCATAGCCAGCTGGAATGGTTGACTGCTTAGCAGTTTTTTCATATTCTGATCTGCGATGAACCTGAAGTTGGATGGTGATTTTCTCGATGCGCTTGATTTTGAGACAACTGAGTAGTTTGATTGAAACAGTCAACAGTTTGATTGGGGATCAAACCGCAGGGTGATGGTTTGAACTCTGATCTTGCCGAGCCATTTTTGGTACCCCAGTATCCTCCAGCATTCCTGGACCTTGATCCAGCGGCTTTCCTTGATGCCGTTTGTTTTAACTGGCAAGTTAGAAACCACAGCCATGGATAAACATGGGAACTTCTCAAACTTTTTTGATTGAAACCCAAATTGCTGATTTGATCGGATTTCGGATGAGTTATTTAATACAATTCACGTGAAAATCGCTGTTGTCATACGGCCATTTGGGGATGAGTCCCCGCATAGAAACACCATACCCTCTGGTAAACTAACATAGCCATTGAAAATGGCCATTTATAGTTGATTTGCCCATTAAAAATGGTGATTTCCCATAGTTATGTTAGTTTACCAGAGGGTAATTCCAGATCTGATTTGGCTCAAGCTACGAGAAACCTCCAGCCGCATAGACGGTGGCTTCAAAGGCCAAAACTACCTCGAGATGCTCAGGGGCTTGTCTCAAAAGGGGGGAACCATCCGAAACCAAAAAAGGCCACAAAAACGGGTGTAAATACAGCCATTTTATGGTAATATCATGGTGTCATGATGGAGTAATGATGGTGATACCATTAAGATATAACTAAAATTACTTAAATATATATTTGTAGTGATAGAATGGGGATATAAATAATATAATATAATGTAATATAATGTAATGTAATAATAATATAATATAATATAATATAATATAACATAAATATAATATTATAATATAGTATAATGTAATATAATGTAATGTAATAATAATATAATATAATATAACATAACATAATATAATATAGTATAATGTAATATAGTATAATATAATATAATACAATATAATATGAAATAATATAATATAATATAAATATAATATAATACAATATAATATAGTATAATATGATATAGTATAATATAATATAATGGGGCTATGATGATTACTTGTTGATGATATATATATTTTTTTTGGCTGACTGCACATGGGAACGATCACTCGTTGCGGCAGCTCGCAGCAAATTCTGGTCTTTGCCTCTGCACCCTACCCTCCAGCGTAGTCAGCACCGATTTTGGTGCCCATGGCTGTGCAGGTCATGTGTCTGCAACGCTCAACAAAATCGGCTGGTAGGGTAGGTGCCTTCACCACCTCTTCGGGTGGTGGAAAATGTGAGAAAAATCCCTCTGCTAGCGCTTTACATAAAGCAGGAGGATACTCCTTCAGTTTCGCTGTTCGAAACTGGCCGTTCTCGTCGACGCCAATGGTTTGGGCTCGTGGAAGGTGAGCACATACCGCGTTGGCTCGAAGGAACTTCGGCAGGTCAGGAAGGTTCAAAGACAGCAAGCCTGTGCGCTTGGCGCTATCTGCTCCCAGTAATCCCTGCGCAAACTCATAATGGCGAAACCCTGGCAAAGTGGCAATCATTTGGACAATGGGCAGCCGCCAGATGCTCGCTGCTTGATCATCGGCGGGTTCGGCCGGATGCTCCAAAGCCCCACAGCTCTCCACGGTGGACAGGACTACCATTGCCTTGAGGCTAAAGCCAAGGAGTAGATGTCCATCCATGAGCTGTCGTTTCTCCTTGAGAGAGACCGAATGGAAGCCCCACAGTGCTGATGCCGTGCGAAGGACTCGAGGACCTCGTCTGTGCGAGCCAGCCACATGCTTCCCTCGCGCCACAGACCATGTGCAACAGGGGGGCCCACTGAGGAACCCGATCACGAAGCCAGCACGCATCGACTCAAGCCAGAAGCTCTGTGTCTTCTGATTGCCAATGTCGCCCCATGTAGAATCTATTACGATATCAAGGGAAACTACATAAAAACCTTCTAATTTCTGCTGGCGACCCAGTGCGTCAAGGAACCACTGGAAATCCCCTGGCCTTCTTCGACCCGAGTAGGCATGAAGGACTACTCGTTCTCGAAAGACTGGTCGCGGGCAGGTTAAGGTTGGTCTCCACGGTGATGGGGCAGTGGCCAAGTCGCAGCACCATTGCTCATAAAGATCAAGGTGATGGAGATGCTCTGTGCCTGCAGTCTCATACCGGATCTCAGTGAGAAATCCCCATGCCGAGGGCTCCAAAAGAAACTCCAGCGCTGATAGTGCAGTAGCCCGTGGTGTCGCAGCATCATACTCCTCTAACAAGGAAATCGCTTGATGCACATGTCGGAGGGTGAGCTGCGTTTGCGTCCAACTGATGTCATACGTCTGGATGCATGTTCTCATCCGATGTTGCAAATCACCTGTCACAAGTACAGGAGAGTCCATGATCAGCAGAATGAGTTGCTCAAATAGGTGAACATGATGTAGGTCAATTTCACCTGGAGGCTTCTGGAGTGTTCGTGGACCTGCTGCTTGTTGAACAGGGAGTAGATCATCATGTTGCGCTTTCAGAATGGCATTGTCTCTGGAGCCAATACCTGGCATGATCGGGGTCTGCGTTGCCCTCGTGCATAGTTGTGCTCGGCATTGATCCGACCGACGAAGATGTGCCTGCAATTTATCAAATGAATGATATTCTTTAAGACATACTTCACAGCCAGTGTGGGTGATCCAATGGCGTTCTCGCGCACAAATACCATGGACTTTGAAGAGATGTGCTCCCTCACCAGCTTTTGACTTGCATCGAATGCCGCACGACATGCAACCATAGTAGCCAGTCTGATGTTCAATTGGAATATTTGGTCGTACTGGTGCAAATTGAAGCGGTCCCCAGTGCGCCAGGTGTCCAAGAATGTCATGATGAAGGCGACGTAGAAGCATGTCATCTTGTCGATGGAGCTGTGACAATTGAAGTCCACGTTGAAGCAAAGTCTTCCAGTAACTACGATGGTAGCGGAGCACATATTCCCAAGCAGGGAAATGTTCCTCTGGATTGCGCAATTTGGTGGTGTGCTCAACGAGACGCCAGAGCCATTGTAGATCCTCTTTGATCTGTTGGATCCATTGTGTATCCGCTCGGATGAGGGCCCAGGGCGTGACCTCTTCACAGCGGTAGAGCAGTCCAACATAGCGCAGCCTTGATATCCGGAGAAGATCTTCTGGAGCTGGTAGTTGGGTCTGCACAAGGATTTCATCATCTGGAATGGCACTGTCTGGTGCGCACTTCAACAACCTTCTGTAAAGACGAAGGATAGCTCCATTGAAATAGGTTTTGGATCTGACATCGTCCAGAATCCAAGATTCCGTTCCATAGGATATCTTGCTGGTCACGAGGGTCATGAAAAGTTGGGTTCTTTTGTCGGCCGAAAGGGCCCGGTTCTGAAAGAGCAATTTTCGATGGAGATTGAATGCGTTGTTGCCAATGGCAATGCGTCTTCTCATCTCTTTACGACATGTGCCGCTGTGGTGTGTCAGGCCACCTAGATGGGTGTAGTCGCCCACGACAGAAATGTAGTGGGTGCCATACTCAGTCAGGATCATCATCCTCTGGCCTTGTTGTGGACTGAAGTATTTCTGCTTGAGTGCCCTGGAACCTTGTCCTCTGAAGGATAGGAGTATCTCTGTCTTCCCTTTCTGGAGATTGGGAGTGACTCCATGATTCATGCACGTCTCCAGAAGCACACTCGCAGCCAGTCCTGCTTTATGTTCTACTCCATGGGCTGTGGTGGACGTCACTGTTATACAGAGGTCGTCCATCCAGGTTGGCCCCAAAATGGAGTGCTGATGCATGGGCCCTGCATGAAGGTCCAGGAAAAGGCCAGGTGTACTCACATCATTGATGGTCTCCAAGATGTCGAGGTCCTGCATCTTCTGCTCGACCGTAGTCAGCAAACGGGCAAACATGTACCCAAACACCACGTCCGCAAAAGGGTCGCCCGGTCGAGTGCCTACCCGAGTGTGGGTGGCATCAGTCTGGCCATGTACTCGAAAATGTGTGTTGGTATGTAGCGCTTGTAGTGCTCTCGATAGGTGTGGTGGAAGTCCAGCCATTTCCGTTGCTGCGGGCAACTGAAGGAGTTGATGTAGGTCACTGACTGCATCTATAGGGAGTCTCAATCTCTCCGCAATGGATGCCAGCAGGGTGTCCGTGATGACGCCACCAATGGCGATGGGTCGAAGGACTCGATAGAATGCTTCCTGAAGGTCCAGGAAGATCATGGCGTGAGATCTCTTCGCCTGTCGAGCCATACGTGCAGTGGATCGAAGATAGTGCACTCCCATGGTGACTGGGAAATGGCGTCGCCCTCCGACCTGTTGATGTTGGAGGAATGCCTCGTAGACATTTGCTTGATGGTCACGGACCGCTCGATGTAGCGTCTTCCCTACATGAGAGCTGATGAGCAAGGACCTGTATGAAGAACATAAATTCTGTGGTCCCTTGCGCTTCCAGGCTGCAACAAGCAGGCCTCCTTTGTGCTGGAGCGCTTCTTGGCCGTGTGTACAGAGTTTGAGCATCTGTGTGAATGTCAACCTTGCCATTTGGACGGGATGTCTGTGGCAAAGTTCTGGTGGTACATGATCATCGCCTACCGCTTTGTGAGGTCGAACCCGTCGGTATGCATGTTCAAGGTCCGTCAAGGTTGGAACATCTTCAGGACGAAGCTCCAAGTCCTTCTGCATGAAGGTGCTCAGATCTTGAATCCAATCCTGACGCAATTCGGATGCACTAACTCTGTGGCCTCCTTCCATCGTGCCAAAGAATTCAGCCCAACAATCGGTGAGCTCCGTTGGGGTTGTACATGGTTGTCCTTGTTCATTCAAAATCCATGGCAGTGGTGAGGTCCGACGTAATTTCGGATTCGTCGGTCCAATCACTGGCTTGAGGGTGTTGAGTATGGTGGAAGCTGCACAATCCGGAGGAAGGGCCGTGATGATCTTTTTGACATGCACACGCTTGGCAGCAGTCAATTCGCCTCGAAGCTGTCTGGAGACGAGATAGAGCTCGATGCGTGTTTTCAAGCCGTGAGCTGCCAAAGAATTTTCAAATTGTACAGATTGTTCTTGGCGGTCACTGTCGATTCGACCTGCCCATCTTTGGAAAAGTCGAGTCATGAACTCCTTTTGCTGACGTTTCTTGTTGTCTTTGGCAGTGCGTTGGAGCCGTAGCTTTTGGGCTCGAAGCTGCCAAGTCCGCTCAGAGATGTAGGATTTCTTTGGTCCTTGTCTTTTGGTTGGGCATTGTTGATGCAGGACTTCAAGCACATGCTGGTTGAAGTGGTCCACCTGGTTCTCAATGTCAGCCTGCCATGGTAGCGGAGCATAATCATCAAGGCCTTTTGCCAAATCCGCCGTCAGGATACCTGTTCGGTCATAGGATTTGATCTTCTGGTTCTTTTTCATCTTGTGGCCAGCTTCTTGCCATGATAGTTCGATGGCCATGGCACGATGATCTCCCAGGTGACCCAGGTCGAGGTGGTCCAGACTGCAGGATTGTGTGCAGTCTGTCACCCAGTGAATCGGGACTAAGACATAGTCTATCCGATATTCCGCATCTTCTGATGGGTGCATCCATGTGGTTTGATGTCCCTCATGTAGAGTGAGAGTGGAAGGAGTACATAGTTGATGTTCCTCCAAAAACTCCCTGAAATGAGCTGTGTTGGTATTGGCCACGTCGTCATTCCCAAAAACATGGACATGATCAGCAGGTCCACTGCGAGCATTGGCGTCAATCATGACGACCAGCGGGTCGTGTTGGGCATGCCTTTGAATGGTTTCTGAAAGCATGTGCCACCATGTTTCACGTTCACCACTGGGAGATCCACTGTGCAGTGCATGTGCACATAGGATCCAAAAGCTCATGTCTTCATTGACTACATGGACCAAAAGATGTCGAGGCGCCCTGTCAACAACGACAAAATCAGACCGCTGAAAGTGTTTGGGATGGCGACCTTGATAGGCATACGGTTGCATCAGATTGATCCATATCTCCACACCAAAATGCCCTCCTTCATGTCCACTCGCCAAACGGTAGATCTTGTCTTGAAGGGAGGTACCTGGATCTGTGCGAGCTTCTTGTATTCCAATGAAATGAAGACCAGATGCACGGAATTGTTCTCGGACATAAATAAAATAAAATCTAATGTGAGGGTCCCTCTCAAAAACGCGATTTGTGGACATCTTGATGGGGGAACATGCTGATATGGCTACCCGCTGCTGAGACATGCTGAAATGTGGATGCTGGGCCCTTTCAACATGGCTTAGCTTGAATCACTACTGGAAAATACGCATCCACCACCCATCATCCACATCATCCATAGGCCCCCACAAACCAGGCCTGCAATCCGCTCAGCAATAGGAACAGACTGCCATCCGTGGCTGTTGAAACACTTTGCACCTGAGCACTCGGTTTGTCGACCTGGATTTAGATGACCTCAGATGGTTCCAGAAATTTCCCTCAGGTGCACGAAGAAATATTGCCAGAATATCATCATCAATTGCGACCATAGAGATTGTCATTATACCACATGTACATATTATCTGATTATCTATTAAAATCATTTAACATCTATTACTATTCTTGCAGATTGAATAGCCACTTTCAGTCGCACTAAGGACCCCACATAGATCAGTGAGAGGTGTGCAAGAGACAGCAAGAGATATAAGGCATTGGCCACCTGGCTCGTTTAAGAACAGTTCTTGAGAAGTCCCCCAAAAAATAGAGAAATTATGGGGATGGTCAAGTTACCTATGAAATTGCCATGTGATTGGGGGACGAAACATCCAGCTATAGTGGCTATTTGATGCTATTTGAAGGTATCCAGGGTATCAACGATTTGTGCCAATTCTCAGTGGTGCCTGGCCAGCAACTCCCAGTACAACGCGTCCTGCTGTGGATTCCTGCTGTGATCATGTCATCAGAGAAGTTGATGAGGTATCGATCTTGGAAACTTCAAACACAAACAACCAAAATCATTCCCAAATATCTCTGGAAGCGACAAAAAAAATGGACAAAAAAATGGACTCCGCCCTGTTTGGCTGCTGAAACACCAAACTGTTTGATGCTCCTCGGCCACATCACCCTTCTCCAGGCTGTCCAAAACCTGCCGGGCATTTTTCAAAAGAAGGGGTAAGTGTGACTGGTGTCTTTGACCATTGACAACTTGGCATCTTGGAAACTGGTGAAGGCCTAGTCCCCTCTGATCATAAAGAATATGTCCGTCCAAGATGCTGCTTTTGGGTGCGAACTAGAATATCTAGAATATTATTCTTGTTTGTTTGATCAAACAAGAGAAATGATTCACGTCTTCCAGAGCATGTCATGAACTGAACAAACTCACAACTTATGCATCCGTATGAAACGCCAAACCCGCGGAATGATCAAGTTCAAGATCCTGGTGGACACTTCCAGGAACCCTTTCTTTTGCCCTTACCAATTCTGGCTTTCCAACCCATGGGTCTCATGGTGTTTCGAACAAAATCACAACACCACTGACTTGGTCCTGCAAATTCCTGTGCAGTGCTAGTTTTGGTAGTTTTAGCAACATGATTTTCTTGTGTTTTTCTCCAGTCTTCCTAGTGCTCCTGGTTTGCTGATGTTTGCTGGGTTCTATCCGTGCTCTTTTTCCCCATCAAATGCCATTGCTGAAGACAAATGCAGCTTGAATCTCCGAAAGATCATCAGCAGGATTTGTTTCTGAGACCCAAATAAAGTCAGCTTCCTCAAAAAATGATACAAAATCATTATATATCTTCTTGGTTCTTTTTCCAGCTTCCCAAAAAACATGTTGGATCATGTTGGATTACCAAACGGAAAGGCTGAGCCCTCAGCCTCCTGGACTTCGCGGTGACGCGCTTCCCAACGCCTCAAGTTGGAATCAGAGTTTTCCCGCGTCACTGCTCCAATCTTTGGGGAAAAAGATTGAAAAAATACTAAATCAAGAGGTAAACCCCAGGTAAACGATGTAAGATCATCACTTTGCCCAGCCTAGTGGCTACCATTGAGCTATACTGGCGATGGCTATAGTGGGTTGGAGCAATGCTGACGATGGAGATGCAACCTATCTGCCTCTGAAGCTTGATAGCATGAGATTGGAACTGCAGAACCCTCAATCATATTGCTTGGTTGTCGCAATGCACTTGGTTCCTGAAAATTATTGCAATTTGATGGTTTCAAGTTTCTATTCCAAAATAAGGATCCCAGCAAAATGCTTGGAAAAATGATACGCTACGCCACTGAAAAAATAAAACGTCTCTGACCAAGACAGAGACACCTGGCACTATCATTAGAACTGGCCAATCGGAATTAGGTCAGGAACATATGGGGATGGGTCAAAATTCAAGCCCCATGGGACCATAGATTTTAGATGATTTTAAATGTATTTAGTATATGTTTGGTATTAAGCATCTAATTATTGGGGTACATTGGGGTACCCAATTTTGACCTATACCCATATTCCACAATGAAAAAGACCTGTTAATTTTCCCAAACATGTATAGCCCCATGGCCCATCGACAGCATAACATGTCCTGAATACTTTTGAGATACGACGATCTTCAGTGAGTTCCACCATGGCCACCGGCGCAGTGAGTTCCACGTGGCCACCCTGGCCATCCTGGCTGTTTGTTGTCAGAAATCCCACTGTTTTTCGGTGATCAAATATTTTTGAGTCTGAAAAATGGTGCGACACAATGAAGATGAGTGGGGATTGGCACAGCAGAAACATGAAAGATAAAAACAGTATACAATCCTTGCGGCTTGGGACACGGTAAGAACAGCTCACTAGAATCTGCGACAGCTCTGGGACACAGAATTTCTCTGTTCCGTAATGGACTTTCTGGTTGTGGATCTACAGCAACCCAACAAACAACTGCCATTGGTATTTTTGGTTGGCTTAGGGCCAGGTTCCCAGTTTGTGGATCAAATCTATCCTTAAACCCAACGCTCCATGAATTCTGGGTCATGGCATGTCATGGCATTCTTGCAGGCAAAGTTCGCTAAGTACCAGTATCATACCAGTATCTTTGTTGCTTCATATGCCATCTTTTACAGTTGCACCGCAGTTCTCCGCACACTGCGCGGCCATTGGGAACCCAATCCATCAGGCTGGCCTTGAAGGAGCTTGCCATGCAGGCCTGTTCCTGGAATGCACTTTGGCTCATTTTTTAGAGGTGTTTTTGGAGCAAAACATAGCAAAACTACCAAGTTCATCCAAGTTCTCCTTGTGGCAGTCTGTCCTTCTAGGTTGGAGCATGATCATCGTGGTTGTTGGATCCATGGATCTGAGATGATCTGAGAACGTGGCAGGGCCCGCCATGGCATCTTGTGTCGAAGTTCTTCAAAAATGAACCAAAGTGAGGAATGAAAGTCTGAAAATGTCTGAACTGAACTCCCTAACCCCAAATCATCCCAAATCCTTCGAAGATATGTGCGCCGTGATTCATGCACGTAGATGACCTGCGGCATCCTGCGGCATGTTACATGATTGGATCGATGAAATCCAACCATGAACCACAGCACTTTATCACTTGATCCAAGGCTCAATCTAAGATGCAGGAAAAACTCAAAGGGCAATCAAAGTTGATATGTTGCGTGTATGAGCTTGCATTCACAGCTGATTCCCTGGTTTCAAATCAACTTCTGCTTCACCAGGCATTGTTTTGACGCTGATTTTGACAGTGCAATGCTATGGTAAAGTCAACTTATCTGGAGGGAGCCCTTCCTCTCTGTCGAAAGTCGGCTCTGGAAAAAAACCAGGCATTCCGAGAGGACGCTTAGGACCCTTTCACCAACTTCTGGGGGAAGCCCAGAGCTTCATTGCTGGTTGATGCTGGTTGGACCTAGAAAGTCCAGAAAACTGTGCTTTCTGAATGGCAGAACCCCCCAGCCAATATAAATTCCGAACATATCTTAATATGCCGATTGTTGTTGATAAAACAATACTCTGTCAATCAATAGGTATGCATTGTGCATGTAGCGACAGAATCCCTTCAGAACAGCATCAGAAGCCCCAATCATTAGCCATCATATTCTGGACTCTTTCCCAACTTTTGTCAGTTCGTTTCCCCTTTCATTGCTAGTACCCCATTTCATGATAACATGATGTCGTAAGCATCATGTCCAGCCTCAGCTTCAGATGTTTTTTTCGGCTCTACCCTATGGATACCTCCAAGGTTTCCATGTTCATCCACCCAAATTACATGTTTGAACGCCGACATTTTGGAACTATTAGACACCTTTGCCTGGCCCAAGATCTGACGTGGAGCCACGAAGCTGGCAAAGGGAGCTTGGCCGAGGTGATTGCCTCTCTGATCTGTGATGCACTGTCTGCCGAACCACAGCCGCAACGTCACTCCGGCTAACATAAGATGTTCCAGGGCAGGAATTGTTTGTGTATCTTGATATCCCCAACAGATTGGGATAGCTGTTCAAAGTCGGTGTGATTGCTTGTAAACTGAGAAAAATGCATGTCTTGGCGATTCATCAAGATATCATTTGATATAACATGATATAACCATCACAAATCACCATGTTCAGCATGCAACTTGTAATTTGACATACCATTCTTTCCTCGCAGTTGAAATTGTGAAGCGACCATATGTCATGGATATAATCGTGAAACACAAAGTACTGTATCATGAATATCGAACATCACATCTGTTGTATCCATGTCATTGGTACAGCTCTGTTTTCACAGCTTTTCCCATAAAATCCCAGCCAGGTGGAAAAACATAGCTTGGAAAAATGCCTGATTTTTGGAGGAACCATTGACATCCATCGTGAGTATTGTGGATATTGGATCCCGACTATATCCGATCCTATCCCCCAGAAAAAATCCCGTGTTTGTCAATGGATGACCGTAACATATCCCATGATATCCCACAGACCAACATATTCCCACAGAATGCTTGGATTGATTGGTTGGACATGGGATATTTAAATCCAGTTCTCCCCAAGTATGATAATATAAACC